TAGCCATTCCCCCCGGGGATGAGTTCTCGCTTTCTTTCTCTCTGTCTCTCTCTGTCTGTCTGGTGATCGAATGTGCCCTATAGCAAAAACCTCTCAAAAAACAAAAACAAAAACAAAAACCTGGCACACAGGGCCAGCGGGTAGCATGGTGTTTAAGATACTGGACTCCCACAAGATCAACCACAGTTCAAGGCCCCGGCCTAATGACTTGAAAATCACACCAGAAGTGTGCATGCATGCCCAAAATCCCAGGAGGAGAATAGAGGAGCAGGGATTACAACATGGCCATCCCCCCACAGGTTGACTTCTCACTTTCCCTCTCACTGTCTCTCTGGTAAGTGCACATGCCCTATGGCAGAAACCTTAAAGACAAACAAAAAGCCATGGCATATGGTGCACTGCTGTGTACCCTAAGAAAACTACTCTTTGGTGTAATCCCAACAGGAGTGCGTCTGTGTGTTCACTACGAGACTCATAGCACCTCTTAGAAGCACCAGAACGCTGGCTACAGCTGAGATTGCTGTGACAGTGGAGCAGATACTCTGCTACGTCTGTAAAGTGGGCAGCATCAAGAGTGAATAACACAGAGCAACACGAAAAGATATACACTAATGCAATGTAAAAAAGGAAGAAAAACAAAACAAAAACCAGGACCAGGAAGTGGCGTGTTGGTTAAGGTGCTGGACTACTGTGTGGCTAACCACCGTCGAGTGCCAAGCCCCAGTGGCTTGAAACTCACTCCAGGCGTGTGTGCATGCATGTGTGCCCCAGTTCCCAAGAGAATGGAGAAGGGATTGTAGTGTGGCCATCCCCCTTGGGGGGTAATTTCTTGCTTTCAGTCTCTCTGTCTCTGTCTTTCTGGCAAGCATATGTACCTTTTTTTTTTTTTTTAAGAGGTTTTTGCTGTGGGTGGGTGCACTTGCTGGAGACACAGAGAGACTGTAAGAGGGAAAGTTGTTGTTTTGGTTTTGGCTTTTGTTTTATCTTACTTTTTCAGTAAGCTGGAGCGTAGGGTGTATGTTCTTGCCAAAGAGACAGAGGGAAAGAGAGAAAACGGAGAAGGCACCCCCAATGGGTCGTGGTCATACTGCAGTCCCTTCTTCATCTCTATCCTTCTGGGATCTGAGGCATGCACACACATGGACCGGCATGATTTACAAACCACCAGGGCTGGGATTCAGACCATGGTCAGCCATGTGGGATCTGGTTCCCCCACCACCAGACCTCCTTCAGAATTTTGAAGACATTGCTGATGAATGGATAAACAAAATGTGCACTCAATGGAATACTGTACAGCCATAAAAGATGAATTACCCGTCATTTGAGACAAAATGGATGAGCCCAGAGGAGAGAATGCTAAATGAAATAAGTCAGGCACTGATAGACAAATACCAGGTACCCTGACTCAGTAACAGAAGCCAGAACGATCAGTGACTAGACTGTCTTTTTGTATCTTTATTCACGATAGAGCCCCTATGTGCGCACTTAAGAGAGAGATGAGCACTCTTTTATTTTTTTTAAAGAATCATTTTATTTAGCTTTATTTATTTACTTATCTTAATTTGACCAGAGAAGGACAGAAGGAAAGAGAGAGGGAAAGTGAGAAAGCAAGCTGCCAGGTCCAGGACTCGAACCATGGTCTGCCATGTGGGAATCCAGCACCCTCAACCACCATGCCACCTGCTGGCCCCAAAATGAGCACTCTTAATAAGGTCTGGTCATGCCATGATCTTCCTCCAGTCTTCTAGCCCATCAAATCGAGGACGTTCATGCGTGTGCTTGGTGTGTCTCATGTTGACCAGTCAGGGATTTGAACTTCTGTCCCCATGGGCATCCAGTGTCTCTTAAGTAGCACATTATTACTGTACCATGAGCTGGCTCTTTGCTGTCTTGTACATTCCAGTTTCCCTGTAGAAAATCCAAAACCATTTTACTTCCCGATCAGTCGTATGTAAGCTCGCTCTCTCTCTCTCTCCCCCCCTCTCTCTCTCTCTCTCTTCCCCTCTCTCTCTCTCTCTCTTCCCCTCTCTCTCTCTCTCTCTTCCCCTCTCTCTCTCTCTCTCTTCCCCTCTCTCTCTCTCTCTCTTCCCCTCTCTCTCTCTCTCTCTTCCCCTCTCTCTCTCTCTCTCTTCCCCTCTCTCTCTCTCTCTCTTCCCCTCTCTCTCTCTCTCTCTTCCCCTCTCTCTCTCTCTCTCTTCCCCTCTCTCTCTCTCTCTCTTCCCCTCTCTCTCTCTCTCTCTTCCCCTCTCTCTCTCTCTCTCTTCCCCTCTCTCTCTCTCTCTCTTCCCCTCTCTCTCTCTCTCTCTTCCCCTCTCTCTCTCTCTCTCTTCCCCTCTCTCTCTCTCTCTCTTCCCCTCTCTCTCTCTCTCTCTTCCCCTCTCTCTCTCTCTCTCTTCCCCTCTCTCTCTCTCTCTCTTCCCCTCTCTCTCTCTCTCTCTTCCCCTCTCTCTCTCTCTCTCTTCCCCTCTCTCTCTCTCTCTCTTCCCCTCTCTCTCTCTCTCTCTTCCCCTCTCTCTCTCTCTCTCTTCCCCTCTCTCTCTCTCTCTCTTCCCCTCTCTCTCTCTCTCTCTTCCCCTCTCTCTCTCTCTCTCTTCCCCTCTCTCTCTCTCTCCCCCCCCCCCTCTTTCTCTCAGCATCTTGAGTCTTCTGTTCATCCTGGTGTTAATGAATTTCTCACTGGTATCCTTCATGGGATATATTTTGGTCCACTATTGTACTATTTATGGGTCTTTTCACTCTGATGGTTTAGTTCTGGGAACTTTTCTTAAATTATTTTGTTGATGATTTCTTCTCTTCTGTTTTCTTTTTGTTTCTGAATGTTGGACCTCTGAACTTGTTCTCTATTTTTTAATTCTTTTCTCATGTTTTCATAAATTCCTTTTTTTTTTAATGGCCAGAGGGCACATGTGCTTACTAGAAAGAGATAGAGACAGGGAAAGGGAGAGCGCACCCCCTGGGTGTAGTCCTGCCACAATCCTCTCCCTTCATTTCTTTGTCCTGTCAGGATTCAGAGCGTGCACACACATGCCTGCTGTGTTTTTCAAGCCACGGGCCAGGATTCGAACCACAGTGAGCCATGCAGGAGCCAGCTCACCTTACCCATGAGACTACGGAACGGTCCTTTCTCATATTTTCTGTCTTTTGTTCTACTCCCTGGGAGATTGCCGCCTCCTTGTTTTCCAGCCCTCCTGCCCAGCGTTTCATTTACTTTGTTACAGCCTTCTCTGGTCTGGTGGGTACAGACAGATCCTGAGTCTCTGAGGGTATTTGTTTTCATTTGTTGTTGGGTCTGCCCAGACAGCCTCACATCCTCTGAGGTGCCCCATGCCCGTGTGTTTTGGCACTATTTCCGTGGTAGAAATTGTCTTGCGCTGTCTGGTCTCCTGGGTTATCTCCTGATGAGACGTTGCGAGTTGGGAGAAGTGCCCATTGGCAGTTCTGAGAGAGGGATAGAGCCTTCTGCTGTAGAACTCTACTATAGGAGATTAGGGCAGGCCACTTATGGGGGGATCTCTGGTTCCAGGGTCTCTAGCTCTTTCCCCTTGGGCTGGCCATTTTCCTCAGAGGAGAGTCTTCTTAATCCGCTGCCTCATGGGTACCAGCCTATACCAGCTTTGGGAGTCAAGTGGGGAGGAGCAAGGGCGGATCTGTTCAGCAACAATCGCACATTCTAGTGCAGAGCCCCTGCCTACCTGGCCAGGGTCCCCCAGTCCACGGGCCCTTTAACTTTTTAGTTTAGTGTTTTTTGTTTTTTTTTTTTCCAGAGCATCTGTGCTTGCCAGAGAGACAATGAAAGGGAAAGTGAGAAATCACCTTCCAGGGGGCTGGCCATGCCACAATCCCTTTTATCCTTCCCTTTTCCTCCTAGGATTTTGGACATGCATACGTGTGCGCACACACACACACACACACACACACACAAACGCCTGGTGTGATTCTTTTCAAGCCACCAGGTCTGGTACTGAAACTGCTGTCGGCCATGTGAGAGTCCAGCACCTTAACCTCTGTGCCACCTACTGTCCCCGGGGGCTTTCTTCCTTTTTTTTTTTTTTTAAAAGGTTTTGCCATAGGGTTTGAGCACTTACCAGAGGGAAAGTGAGAAGTCACCACCCCAGGAGGGATGGCTGTGCCACAATTTCCTCTCCATTCTCTTCCTGGGATTTTTGGGTACACACACACACACACACACACACACACACACACACACGTGTCAGGCGTAATTTTCAAGCCCCTGGGTCCAGGACTTGAACTGCAGTCAGCCATGTGGGAGTCCAGCACTGTAACCACTATGCTACCTGCTACCCTGCCCCTCTACTCCTTCATGCCCTCAAAGGACTCTGTTGTTACCCTCACAAGACAGCGACCTCACCCAGCCCTGCGCTGGAGGGGGTGTGGGAGCACAGCCACCTGGTACAGCATGCGAGGCTCCCGGGAGCTGTCCCCCTGCACTCATGCATTCACGTCCCCCCCAGCCCGCAGGCCACTGGAGGAGGAAGCGAGGGGCATCAGCTAGTCTCGCTCCTGTTCTTCCTGCGGGGCTGGCGCCCTTGGGCCTGCTGAGCCTGTTGCCAGCCTGCATTCCTGCCCCCAGAGTTGTGTGGTGTGGTTCCTGGTGCTGTTCTCCCTGTCCTTGAGGGTTATATGGCGGTGTAAAGCATGTTCACTGTCAGTTTGCTGTGGCTTGGAGGGTGCAGAGATGTGGGGGTCGGCCCTCTGCTCTAACCCGGAAGCAGTGCAGTCATGGCCAGCAGAGCTGCTTCCTCCGTGCCCGTCTCTGCTCCGCATCTGGTATGACTCATCCACCGGAGTTCCAAATACCTTGTTTGCCAAGTCTTATCAAATAGGTGTTGGACATCAGGGCTTCCAGATGAAGTGTTCGGGTTTAGTCTGTCTCGCCTCTAACAAACCCAGGCAGAGGACGAGAACCCCAGCACGTGGCGGAGGCGCGTGTACCCCTGCCTCTCTGTAACCTGTTGTTTTCCTGCCTTGGTGCCCCCCAGAGGAGCGTGCTCCAGCTGCTGCACTCCAAGAGCGAGGTGGTGCGGCAGTACATGGCCCGGCTGCTCAACGCCTTCGCGTCGCTGGCTCAAGGTGAGACGGGCAGCTTTTCTTCCATGTGAGGGGCTCAGTCTTAGCAAAGACAATGAATGCTCGTCCCAGGTTTTGGAGATGACGTGTTTGTTCCCTGTCTATGACCATTCGGTTCTTCACAGGTCCTTTTATGAGTGCAATTGTTAAAAATTAGAGGACTCTCAGTTCTGTTTTTTTTTTCTTTTTTTTTAAGTTAATTACTTCAGATGGAGTGAGTAATAGAGAGAGTAAGAGAGAGAGAGAGACACCCCCAGCAAGGCCTTCACATGCAGCCACCCTGGTCTCAGCCAGCCGGGCACATGTGCACACTCTCAGAGAGGTCTTGGGACTCAGCTGAGGCCGTGCCACTGAGTCTGACTGCATCACCACTCACCATGCCACCTCCTTGTCCCTGAGCACATTTTGATGGTGTAGGAGTTTATTTTTTAAAAAGAATTATTTATTCAATTTAATTTATTCGTTCATTTATTTTATATTTGACCAAAGAGACAGTGAGAAAGCAAGCCACCAGGTCTAGGACTCGAACTGTAGTCGGCCAGGTGGGAGTGTCCAGCACCCTATCCACCATGCCATCTGCACCCCCCCGCCCCCCAGGGAGTTGGTTTTTTTTTAGGTTTTTGCTATAGTGCACATGTGCTCACCAGGAAGACAGAGAGAGACAGAGAGACAGAAAGCAAGAAATCAACCCCCAGGGGAGATGGCCATGCTGCAATCTCTTTTCCTCCATTCTCCTCTCGGGATCTTGGGCACGCAGGCACACGTGCCTGGCATGAGCTTAAGCCACCGGGTCCGGAACTTGAACTGTGGTCGAGTACATGGGAGTCCAGCGACATAGCCATTACACTAACTGCTAGTCCCCCAGGGAGTTTATTTTTTAAAACTTCTGATTTTATTTTATATGCTTTGGTTTTATAAAATAGTACTTTCTAGATTGCTTTCAAGTATATAACAGATAATACATTTTCTGTAATTTTCTATCCAAGGCAAAATAAAGTTGGTGAAACAAGGCTGATTCCAATAAACTCTGTGTCATTTCCCTTTTTTGTTTGTTTGTTTGTTTGTTTGTTTGCCATAGGGCACATGAGGTGACCAGAGAGAGACAGACAGCAAAGGAAAGTGAAAAGTCACCCCACAGGGGGATGGCCATGCCATAGTCCCTTTTCCTCTTGGGATTTTGTACATTCATGCATATACACCTGGCATGTTTGTTCAAGTCACCAGGTCTAGGACTCGAACTGTGCAGTCTGCCACGTGGGCTCCAGCCACCTTAACCATCACACCACTGACTGGCTCTGTATCATTTTCTTGAAAGACTATAATCTGAAAATACCTGAACTAACATGCCACTGTAACTGAATTCAGAATGATTTTACAGAATACCATTATCTTGTACGAGCTCTTTTCATTTTTACCTGTTTATTATTTTTGTATGACAGAAAGTATGTCCACGTGCATGGAAGAGAGGGGAGCGTGCGCATACTCGACAGTGTCCCCCACACTGCAGTCCCCTTTCCGAGCCACCAGCTCCTCAGGAGCGCGGGCACTGCACGTGAGCATGCCCAGCATGGTTTCCAGGTTGACCTGGGGTCTGAGCCATGGTCACCACATGGCTTCCAGCACTGCAGGGCACTGGCATTACTGCTACACCTCAGTGGCCAGCCTGAGCTCCTTTAGATGTGAATAAAGGGAGTCTTCAAATTAGGAACACGTGATACTCCAGGAGTTTGCTCATGCATTTGTTCATTCTCCCATCCATTTGGCAAACATTTGTGATCAACTATAGTATATGCTGGATACCATTCATATAACACTCCTGTTGAAACTTATGTCCAAAATTAACTTCCTTGGTATTAGCACAGAAGTCCACCACAGGCTAGGACCGTTCTGGGCTTATTCTAGAGCCCAGGCGTGGCTCCCACCTTTTTGTCCAAGTGCTAGGTGTGTCTAGGATGAGCTGAAAGGGGCTCTAACACTCAGATCTGCCACCTCTTTTACCCCATAGACCTGACTGTCATGTTCAAGATTGCAGGCAACAAGAGCTCGGTGCTGCTCACAGAATATGGCAATGAACTACGTTTAGCTTAAAGAATGGCTTTCTTCTTTCTTTCTTTACTTTTTTAAGAAAGATTTTTGCTATAAGGCATGTGTATTCACTGAAAAGACAGAGAGACAGAAAGCAAGAAATCATCCCCCCAGGGGGATGGTCACGCTGCAATCCCTTCTCCATTTTCCTCTTGGGATTTTGGGCACACATGCACATGCACCCAGTGTGTTTTAAGCTACTGTGTCTGGGACTTGAACCATAGTCGACTACATGGGAGTCCAATAATGTAACAATTACTCCATCTGCTGATCCCAAGGAAGAATGGTTTTCTATTCCTTAGGTAGTTGATTGAATAAATTCAACTTCCAGAAAAAAATATATTTAGATTAGTTTTCAAGAACATAAATTTGTCCAAATTCTACTATGTTATATGCAAAGTTTTCATAGAAAGTCGTCTTGGAGCATACCAGATCGGTTCTTGCTGTCTTTGACCTCTCTGGTCTCTGGTGTGTTACTAGGTCGCCTCTACCTGGCCCAGAACACAAAGGTGCTGCGGTTGCTGGAGGGACGGCTAAAGGAGGAGGACAAGGACGTCATCACCCGTGAGAACGTGCTTGGGGCCTTGCAGAAGTTCAGCCTCAGGTGATGACTGTGCAGTGGGTCATGGCTGTACTTGTAACATCAGACTGGAGATTTTTAGCCGCCTTTTAGTGCTTATTTAATTCCCATGACAGCCAGGAGACAGATGGTATTTTTTCTGCTATATTTGGGAGAGGTCGGTGACTTTCCAAGATAGCCTAGGAACCTTCCCTCTAGTCCCCTAACTGTCCTGCCAAGGCTGCTGGAAGTGGAGGAAGACATTCTGAAAGCACCATTGTATTCTCCTAATGGACCTTATCTAGTCCAGCCATGCGTCAGATTGTGTCTGAGGCCAGTACAAGGCCTGGAGATGGATAAGACCTGAGGGATAAACACCAGCGGACTAACCCCAAGGGCGCCTCTGTCTGTTCCCCGTGGGACTCGGGCACATGATCACTGGAGAGTGCGATAGGGCATCTCACAGTCAGGTCACAGGCCCGGTGTCTTGTCCAAGGCCCAACCACCTGCCCTAGAGTCTTACCCTGGATCCTGTGAGGACTTGGAACAGCTCCGTATCAGAAATAGAAAGTCAGGGAGTTGGACGGTTGCATAGTGGTGAATTGTGATCTCCAAGAGGAGGTCCCCATGGGGAAGTTCCCTTTTCAAGCCCAGAGACCTCCCTGAGAACAGCAGGCACACTAACGGCCATGACCCAGCGCTGGTTGAAGGCTGGAGTGGTTTGTGGTCTCAGGGTACTGCTGGGGTGTGCTCACGTGCTCTCTCTTTCTCCCTGTATGTCTTTTGCTCATGGAAGAAGAAAAGGAACTTTAAAAAGCGTAATAAAAAGAAACTTAAAATGATACTTCTTAAATCAGATCTGGTATCTTTCTAGAGCTTTTTTTTTTTTTTTTAGTTATAGGGTGTGTGCATTCACTGCACACAGACAGTGGATGGCAGGTGTGAGAAATCACCCCCTACGGGGATGGCCACACAGCAGTCCTTTCTACATTCTCCTCTCAGGATTTTGGGCATGTCTGCACATATGCCTGGTTTGTTTTACAAGCTGTCTGGTTTGGGACTTGATCTATGCAGCCAGCCATGTAGGACCCAGTCACCATGCCACCTGCTAGCCCGAGGGATACTTTATATCCATAAACTTATCCATCTTAAGTGTACAATTTAATTATTTTTAGCATGTTTACAGGATTGTGTGACAACTACAACAATTTAGTTTTAGAACATTTTGTCACCACAGAAAGAAACCTCATCCCCATTCCCAGGCACTGCAGCCCAGTGCTAGCTCCTGGTCACCACTCCAGTAGTGGGTTTCGGGTTTTTTTTTTCATTTTTAAATTTTTTGCTGTAGGCGGTGAGTACTTAGAGAATGTGAAAAAGCACCTACCTGGGGGGCATGATCATACTAGTTTTTCTCTCTCTTTCTCCTCTCAGGGCCTTGGGCGAATGTACATACACACACACCTGGACATGTTTTTCTTTTTTTTTTTCCCTTTTTAAAAATTTTTTATTATCATCATAATCTTTATATTACATTGGATTACATATAACTTTGCAGTGTACTACATTGCTTTTTTTTTTTTTTTATTGAGAGGTTTTCGCTACAGGGCGCGTGCGCTCACCAGACAGACAGAGAGAGACATAGAGACAGAAAGCGAGAAATCACCCCCCAATGCATGTCAGTCAGTACAGAGACATTAATCTCCCCACTTCAACATTCAATATCTTTTCTGTTTTCCCCAATCATTATTTTTATTATTCTAATTATTTTTATAAAACAGTCAATTGTTATTTCTCGTTTTGCTTGTAAAAATACTTTGCCCATCATGAAATACTTCTCAGACCAATCCAGTTGAGAATACTATACATGTCATCATCAACAGTTAATAACCCCTATCTGTTTCTCACTAACGTCCTGTCTCTCTATTGTTCACTTGCTATCTTTCTCTATCCTCTTCTCTTCACTTACCCCATTCCACACTGTCCTATTCTCATTAAGTACCTTCACTGTGTTTATGTCCTCCGAATTTTTGCTCTCTATTATAGAGTGCGGATAGTCGGTATATATTGAGTGGATACATACAATATCTTTCTTTCATAGCCTGGCTTACTTCACTCAGCAATAGATCCTCCATATCTGACCATTTTCTATCAAATTCCAGGGTCTTGTTATTTTTTATGGCTGAGTAGTATTCCATAGAGTATATATACCACACTTTTCCAATCCATTCATCAGTTTGTGGACATTTAGGTTGGTTCCATGTCTTGGCAATTGTGAATAATGCTGCAATAAACATGGATGTGCAAGCACTTTTCTGACTGAGCGTTCTCCTGTCTTTTGGGTAAATACCCAGAAGTGGGATTGCTGGATCAAATGGTAGTTCTATTTGTAGATCTTTGAGGAACCTCCATATTGTTCTCCACAGTGGTTGAACTAGTTTACATTCCCACCAACAGTGTAGGAGGGTTCCCTTTTCACCACATCCCCGCCAACACTTATCACTTTTTATATTCTTAATCTTTGCCATTCTGACAGGGGTTAGGTGGTATCTCATTGTGGTTTTTATCTGCATTTCCCTTATGATGAGGGATGTCGAGCATTTCCTCATATGCTTTTTGGCTGTTCGTATGTCTTCCTTAGAGAGACTTTTGTTCAGCTCACTTTCCCATCTTTTAATCGGGTTAATCATTTTTTTTCGCATAAGGCACTTGAGTTCCCTATGTATTCTCGTTATCAGTCCCTTGTCTGAGGCATATTTAACAAAAATATTTTCCCATTCTGAGGGTTGTCGGTTCACACTTGTTACTGTGTCCTTTGCTGTGCAGAAACTTCTTAGTCTAATATAGTCCCACTTGTCTATTTTAGGGATTATTGCCTGTGCTTTGGGAGTCTTATTTAAGAAGTCTTTGCCTACTCCAATGTCTCCCAGAGTTTCCCCAGCATTTTCCACAAGTAGTTTTATTGTCTGAGGTCTTAGGTTCAGATCTTTGATCCATTTTGAGTTGACTGTTGTTAATGGTGAAAGATGGGGGTTCAGTTTCATCTTTCTGCAGGTGGATACCCAGTTTTTCCAGCACCATTTACTAAAGAGGTTTTCCTTTTCCCAATGGATTGACTGATATCCTTTGTCAAAGATCAGTTGGCTATAAGCTTTGGGAGTTATTTCTGGGGTCTCTATTCTCTTCCATTGGTCCACATGTCTGTTTTTATGCCAATACCATGCTGTTTTGATGACCACAGCTTTATAGTATATCTTGGGATCAGGGAGTGATATGCCTCCTACTCCATTCTTCTTACGCAGGATTGCTTTTGCAATACGAGGTCTTTTATGGTTCCAGACAAATTCTATAATTGTCTTTTCTAGATCTCTGAAGAATATCTCTGGTATTTTGATTGGAATTGCATTAAACATGTAGATTAATTTGGGTAGAATTGCCATTTTGATTATGTTAATTCTACCAATCCAGGAGCATGGGATGTCCTTCCACTTTTTTATGTCACTTTCAATGTCTTTTTTAAGATTCTCGTAGTTTTCTTTATAAAGGTCTTTGACTTTCTTAGTTAGGTTTATCCCTAGGTATCTTATACACCTTGTGGCTATGGTGAAAGGGATTCCTTTCTTCAGCTCTGCTTCGTTCAACTTGTTGTTCATAAATAGAAATGCTATAGATTTTTGGATATTGATTTTGTATCCTGCCACCTTACTGTATTCACTTATTACTTTAAGAAGTTTTTTCATGGATACCTTTGGGTCTTCTAAGTATACCATCATGTCATCTGCAAATAAAGATATTTTCAACTCTTCTTTGCCTATTCGAATGCCTTTAATATTGTTCTCTTCTCTGATTGCATTAGCTAAGACTTCCAGTACTATACTAAAGAGCAGTGGAGAAAGTGGGCAGCCTTGCCTAGTACCTGTTTTCAGGGGAAAAGCTGAAAGCCTTTCCCCATTCAGTATAATGTTAGCTGTAGGTTTTTCATAGATTGCTTTTATTGTGTTCAGAAATGACCCTTCTATACCAATCTTACTAGAGTCTTAATCATAAAAGGATCTTGTATTTTATCAAATGCTTTCTCCGCATCATTTGAGATGATCATATGGTTTTTATCTTTCTTTCTGTTAATGTGGTGCTGGACATGTTTTTCAAGCTGCCAGGCCTGGGGCTCGAACCATGTGGGCTCCAGCTATCTTAATCGCCATGTTGCTGGCTGACCCTAATCTGCTTTCTATAGATGTACTTGTAACCACTAATGCATTTTCCATAGATTGACATGTCACGTAAGTGGAGTTAAGCTGTATGTTCTTTGGTGACGGCTTCTTCCACTTGGCAGGAGGTTGCCAGGGTTACGCACGCTGCCGTGTCAGCATTCTGCCCCTCCTGATTGCTGAGTAGCGACTGTGCCATGAGGGGCCATGTTTGGTCTCTCCTGTCATCAGTTGGTGGACATTCGGGTCGTTTTCACTTTGGCTGTTATGTTCATGCTGCTAGGAACAGTGGCGTATCAGTTTTCTTTTCTTTTCTTTTTTTTTTTTTTAAAGTTCAGTTTCTCTCCGAGATCACATGTGCACTTGAGAGAGAAAGAAAGGCTCCTCTGACAGGGTCTCACCACACCGCGATCCCCATCCCAGAGTCCCCTGGGTGTACACGCCTGGCATGTTTCAGATCAGCTCTATGGTCAGCTGTGTGGCTCCCAGCACTGCAGGTCCATGTGCTGCCACCCATGTGCTTAGCTGGGCCTGCGCACAAGTCCTCACGTGAACCTGTCTTGCCTGGACAGGTACCTTGGTATCTGGGAGCAACACGGCTGGCATTGCCCGTGCACCTGCAGTATCTCAGGAAGTCCGGAGGAATTCCTCCAGAATCCCTCTTCCCTCATACTATCTTACTCTCTCTGACTTTGTTAGGAATTCTAGCACCTTGAGTGCTCAACTTTTTCTACCTGTTCTCTTCTGAACATGCTTTCTCTCCATCAGATGTGGTTGACAGTTGACGGACTCAATGGTAACTAGCTTATGAAGCCCAGAGTCTTTAAACATGTATATGTTGGTGGGGAAAGGGGTACCTTGCATGTAGTTCCACTGTTCGCCAAGTCCTGCCAGAGAGGAGTCCTTGCTCTGACTGTATGAGTTGAAAAGAGCTGTAAGAGACCAGCAGTTAGCATAATGGCTATGTCGCTAGACTCCCATGTAGTCGACCGTGGTTCGCATCCCGGATCCAGTGGCTTAAAACTCACGCTGGGTGCATGTGCATGTGTGCCCAGGATCCTGGAGAGGAGAACGGAGGAGAAGGGATTGCAGCGTGGCCATCCCCCCTGGGGGATGATTTCTCGCTTTCTGTCTCTCTGTCTGTCTGTCTGACGAGCGCACGCACCCTATAGCAAAAACCTCTCCAAAAAAAAAAAAGGGTGAATCTCTCCCTAATTCATTCTATGAAGCCTCTATCACCCTTATCCTTAAAACAGAAAAAGATAGGAAAAGGAAGGAAAACTATAAACCAATATCTCTGATGAATATAGATGCAAAGATTCTCAACAACATACTAACAAA